GTTAATAACAGTTCTGTTTAGCTGCATACAACTGAGAGATTGTATCTTCACTATTCTATAATGTAATGTGATTATTTATGATTTAAATGCCTTGTTGTGATTGTGTTTGATTAGTACTTGAAGTTGCCTTATGTATGAACTTCCCTTGCCTTGTCATTCTTGAGCAATACAGCCAAGACCTCACAGAAAAGGTGCCCAGTCCTCCAGAGATGGCACCTGATCTCTCCGTACGTTTTTTGTGAATGATAAATGCGTAAAAACCAAAGCGAGTGAAGAGACTTGACTCACCATGTCCGCCGCGGTGCTGCTCGTCATTTTGAAGATATTTTAAGTCCAATCCCTGTCTCAAAAACTCAGATATATTCCTTCTTTTCCCACTGGTCTTTCTGGGTCGAGTCTGTCTCTCTCTCTCTCTTGTCTTTTACAATATACTGTGGAATCGCCAGAGACGCACTTCCTTATTATTGCACAATCATCTCGCTCCTGTGCGTCGTAGCGTTAGATTTGTTTTAAAGTTTCAAAGTTAATGTTTTAGGGAGTCCACAGTTCCTCCCAGACGCCAACAGAACCCTGGTCCGAGGAAAAGGTGCCTACGCCATGCAAAAAAAAAGCCAAGACGATCGCTGCCTCTGCCAACAAAAACACATCCAAGAGCACGGTGCGTCTTCTGTGCGTAACGAATAAAAAAGGTGTCTCCACGGCGTGTTTGGCGTCGGCTTCCCCCGGGGTTGAAGAGCGAGTGTGGAGGGGGCGCGGAGGTGAGAGAAATCCGGTGAGGTGTCCCGGAGCTCTGGAGGAAGGCAGGAGTTCGGGGGAAATGTGTTTAAAGCTGCTGCGCCTTCACGACCCTCTCTCTGCTCAGCTGTCATCCACCTCCTCCTCCTCTGTGCGTAAAGACAGTGTGGAAGGAGCAGAGCGCATCCGGTTGGAGCTGAGAGAATAAAACCAGTGATTTTAAGTAAGTCATCTTTATTTATATTCCGCCTTTCACAGACCAGAGTCACAAAGCGGTTTACAATTGTTATTTTTTGGGTATTTGTCTCTCACTCCACACAGAGATGGGAGCTCTCTTTATCTTTTAAGATAAAGATTAAGAGATGCTTGATTCGTTCCACTGTTGGGGGATTTCAGTGTTGCATCATAAGTTATAGAAGAGTGGGAATGAGCAAATAAAAAGATAATTAAGCACCTAGTAGTATTTAAAATAAACCATGTTTCCACCAGCTCTCCATGACCCTACTTTAATCTACTCTACTCTACTCCTCTACTTTACTCTACTCCGATTAGGGGTGTTTCCACCATTCCAGTTTTACCAGGTATTTATTTTACTCAGGTACTGAATAGTTATTACTGACAGCAGGTATAGTAGAGTAGAGTAGAGTATAGGCTAAGTAGGGCTGGCAGAAACCGGGTTATTGTCAGTTTCTTTTTTCTTTTGTCTCACATTTTCAGGAATACAATCCCGTGTTTAATCCTGACCCTAAACGCCAGTCAGACCCAGACCCTAAAGGTCCGTCCCTATCTAATAATATCAATAATTTTGTCTGTTTAAAAAAATATATATATTTTTTTTTTACCTCGGCTTGAATGACATACGGTTTATCACCAGAGACTAGAACCAGATACCAGAATAAGAGGAGAGGGAGAGAGAGAGAGAGAGAGGGAGTCAGTGGCCAGTGAGAGATCAGAGAAAGAGACAGGAGAGCAGAAAGGCCAGAGAGAAACCAGAAAGAGAGAGAGATCAGTGGCCAGAGAGTGAGACCAGAAAGAGAACAGAGAATTAGAGTGAATAATGTGAATGTGTACACCAGTATATAACTAGTTGTAGACTGGTGTTGAGAGACCAAAGCACTATTGCCCAAAAACTAAAACATGCATACATTATAACACACTATAATTCAATTGCCTTATGACTTTGAATTCTATGCTTCCCATATATTTCGCTTCTGCTTTTATTTTGAAGGACGCGCAGTCTCACTTCCGGGTTGACCGTCTCTAAGTGCGCGCTTGATGGGAGTTTCGCGGTGAACATGGCGGCAGTTCTCAGGTCTGAGGGTGGCAGAGGAGTGTGAAGCGAGGGGCCCCGCGGAGGATCCAGACACAGACAGAGCGGTGTCTTCAGGAGGACAGGGCAAGGACAGGGACATCCATTAAATACTACCCTCGGTATTTTCACACCGACAGACGTGTGCGGTGTGTGTGACCTTACAGCCCATGAGTTTCAACTCTTATTTCAATTAACCAATTATATATGCCCTGAATATTTTTGATTGGGTTGACCCTAATCCTGCCTGTCATATTCTATTAATAAACCAGCGTTCACAAATTGAGAAGGATTTAAGCTTGGGCTACACAAAGTCTGGGAGCGATAGAATGTGAGAAGAAATTAAATATATTTGTTATAAAGCATCAACATTTATGGGCATTTTTTAACATTTATGGACAGAGGTCGTCCTGACCAAACATTATATCCAGCCTATAACATCCAAAATAGTTAAAATAATGATAATAGTTTTATTTGAACCAAAGGCAAGTTCACTGTGACATTATACCGGTGATTGTTTAATAAAGGAGTGGGGAATTATTTTCTCTGGGGGCCTCATTAGGATATTGTCAAATAGGAGAAGGACGAACTTGTTTTCACGCAATCAATCATTTACTTACATTTTCCAAAATATTTTAGCTTTCTTTCTGTGTAAGCCTATGTGTATTATACAATTCATTATTACTTGAACAAAACGAAACAAGGGGCCAAGACAACCCATGTTTTTGTGTTCTGTAAAGTTTGGCTAAAGATGAGCTTTAGAGACTACCAGATTCTGTAATGGAAACTCAACCAGGTAGTAGAGTATAGTAGAGTAGGGACATGAAGGGCTGGTGGAAACCGGGTTATTTTATCAAATTTTCAGGAAGACAACCCATGTTTAGTCCTGACTCTGGGCATCAACAGGAGGCCAGTCCCTGTGCTGCTCAGGGTCTGAGTTGGTTGATATGGCACTGACATATCTAGCGTATAGCCCTAATTTATATAAGCCACAACAGTGTGTGATTAGTGTTAGCGACATATACAGCCTCACTAAAACCAATCAGTGACATTTTAGAAATTAACTCAGGATTACCTAAGACTACACAGGAAAATACATAATTAATTACAGAAAGTGTTACCAAAAAACTGAAGGTGTAGATCAAGAAATGGAAAAGAATTTCAATTGCCAATGGGACAGAGCCATTTAGTCCTATTTTAAGAGCTGTTGCTTTAATTTCTCATTCCAAGAGAGACATTTCTTGTATCTTCTTAAAACAAAATAATTTTTCTTTGTCCCATTGGAAAATCTTGTTTTAAGGCAGTCAGAATGTGCTCATCTTAAGATACATTTAGCCAAAATGTCGGACTTGTTTTTCCTCACTTTTTGCTGTGTTGTTGCTCATTTCGCTGGTTGCTAAGACGAGCTGAAATGACCCTCAGATCGATAAACCAGTCTATCTGCTGCTTCCTGTTTCACATTTGTTGTCATTAGGAGTGAGTTTGGACACTAAAACTCATGTTATCGGCCACAAGGCGATGGAGTAGGGACTGCCGAGGGTGTTAAGTGCAGCCGGGACATCCCTGACAGCTTCATAATGTTACTTCAATATGGTGCAAAGCTATTTATAGTCCCCACCTAATACATATGTAACATAATACCCTTTATGCGTGTCCTTGGTTAAGTGCGGCGGCTGCCCTCAACGCGTGTGGGCCCATTCGTTCCCTGTTGAGGTTTTGAGATGTGTATCGGGGACTCTGTATTTGTCCCTTCTGTTTCGCTCTCTCTCTTTCTCTCTGTCTCTCTGTCTCTCTCTCGGCAGGACATGGGGGAAATCCATTGTGGCTTCAGGAGTGGCTTTTACTCAGATCTACAGGATTAACCGCCTAATCTCAAGCCATAAAGAGGGAGAGTGGAGAGGGGAGAGAGGCAAAGATAACACCAGGCCGACTCTGCAGGACAAAGAAGTCCGGTGTGAGTGAGTGCAATGTTCAACCTGGTTTTCACTAAATTAAGGTCAGAAAAACAGACGGATAATTGATTATTCGCTACATCGGCCATAAAATCACTCTCTGAAATGCTTTATACTGCCTAGTAATAATGATGATAACATATTTCTCATTAAAACATGCTTTCACTGCAAAAAGTGATGAAAAATAAGTCAAAAATGTGTCAAAATTGGCACAATGTATCTTAATTTGAGCACATTTTGACTGCCGTAAAACAAGAAGACAGAAAACTATCTCCTCATACAGAGACTGAAGGACTGAGTCGGTGTTGCTGCTGTTTGTTTTTTTTTTTTATTCCGATCCCCATTAGCTGCTGAAACATACAGTAGCTACTCTCCCTGAGGTGTAAATACTCATTAATGTCACAGCAATGAATGTACAAAAAAAAAATATGCATAGACAAAAATGTAGCAATATATTTTTTTTAATATATATTTGGCACCCCATAAGTTGGTTTAAGACTGGTTCACACGAGACGATTAAAACATTGTCGGACGATTTTTCTCTGTGTGAGAGCTCACACACGGAGGTCGTACAGTGTGTGGTGCGCAGCCACACGGCAAAATCACGCAAACCACTCATCACACACAAACCGATTTCCCCCCGAGCGTTTACAGATCAGACGGAAATCTCACAAAATCTCGCGAGATCAAGCGTGACTTCAGAGTAAAGAATCATGGCGAACGAAGAGGATGCAGTGGCGAAGGATGCAGTTTGTTTTTATCTGAGAAAAGACGCAATCAAAAGAAAAGGCGATGGTCAAAGAAGTGTAGACAACACGAGCATGGACTATAGCTACATCGTGATATGGAGGTGAGTTGTTTTTTTACGGCGTTTCCTTGCGGCTTCGTCTCGTCTTATGATTGGCTACACGCCGCAGTCATGGCAACGCGCTCGTCTGTCCTCGGGGGACACCCAAGAAATCGGGCCAAAACAATCCAACATGTTGGATATCCCCGATTTTGAG